ATCAAAGGCATTTTGCTGATTGCTGCCCCAACCGAACGACAATCCTTTCTTTGCTAGCTGTCGTAATGTATCTGCTACAGTCGCAAAATCCGGCAGATAGCGCAGGTTATAAGAGCACATTCCTAAAAAGGACTTTAGTTCTGTCAAGATTTTGGGTGTTGGCGCTTCAGAGATGGCCCTGATGTTTTCATCACTTGGTCGAATACCACTGCGTGAAATGACGTGTCCCAAAACTGCATTTCTGGTGCATTAAAGAGACATTTTTCTGCGTTCAGGCGCTAATTGAGATCACTGAGGCGCTGGAGGACTTTGTGTAGCTTTTCATCAATGAACCTGGAACCCCCGACCCGGACGAATATTATATATCTGGTGACCCTGCTAGGATACAAAATGTGTCACGTAGGAATTAATCGCCCTGCTCTACGTGGGCCTTCTGTGTTTACACCCGGCGATGACTTCGACCTTTGGGAAGCTCGAATGCAAAATTACCTGACGGGCGTAGCCCACAGTGACCACCGGAAATACATCATGAGCTTCCTCAGCGACGAAGCTGCTCACCAACTGCTGGCCTTTCGGCTCCCACAGGATGCTCCACCGGAAGACATTTGGTCCTGTCTACGAACTCTAGCGGTTACAACTCCGTTGGCCGTGTTTCTTAAATCCTTTTATGCTCGCCAACAGTTGCCTTCAGAAATACGCTGCGATCCTTTTGGAACTAGCCGTAATGGCTTTTCCGGACGCATCACATGCATAATTAGAAAAACAAATCCTTCACCATCTTCGTGTCGTGATGAGGAACCACGAGCTGCTTTCCAAGTTCAGCTGCAAGCCTCTGTGATCGCTGGCGGAAGCTGTCGATATTGCAACCAGCTACGAAGGTGTAGAGCAACTGCATTCGCAATCGAAATATAATTTGTTGCATCCAAGTGCTGAGGTCACTCAATCTCTTCCGGATACCTGCCTCACTCATCGTCGTCTTCACTCAACGATCCTCACCGATCGCAAGAACGGCCCCTACTCCCGAATGTCCGGTAACAGAGTTCGGCGTATTGGTCATCATTCTCTTTTTCATTTGCGACAAGTGGCCAGAGGTCCCAGAAGGCCGCTTACACTGACGAGCACAAACAGCATAGTAAGCCCCGAAGGTGCTCTTTCACTATGCCAACCGTTTCTGGCGCAAACCCGCTAGCCGTTCCGCTTATCTCTGGATTTATATAGTAGAAACGTGTTAAGCTGCTTATCGATACAGGGGCCATGTGTTCTTTAGTCCGAAAACGTGTAGTTCCGGCAGACACTACTGTCTTCCGAGACAGTTCTGTAAACCCGGTGGCATACAACAGGACAGGTATCAAATCCTCGGGTTGAACCACAGCAAATATTAAATTAGGAGAGATGACAGCGACACATCGGTTTTTTTGTAGTAGACGACCTCTCCTGGGATGTGGTGCTTCTGGGACCGATTGCTTCAACTAAAAGCAGTTGAACTGCAGTTTTTTTTAAAAATCTCGTTGGACTCTAAATTGTCGACGAGGTTGGTAGAACGCTCTGTGATTGAGTGTGAACAAAAACTAAAATAAAGAAGATGGGAAAATTGAAATAAATATGGTTGAAAGTGACGCTAGAATTAGACATTAGGCATAGACATACGTAAGCAAAGGAAAAAGAAAACGGGAACACCTGAGCAGCGGTCTCTTTATCCCTGTCCACCCCACTCGATGCAGCAGATAGGGCGTCACTGCGTACTCTACGACGGTCAGTTCATGTAGAAATTCTTTGAGATTTTCATTGTTTTATGTACACGGAATATTATCAGTCTACCCGGGTCTAGACGGCAGATCGTTTAGCCTTCTTGACAGAAACGCAGCAACATCTTGGCAGTGGATCACAGCAACTACTCTTATTCCAACCCCCAACCTGGAAAACTAGGAAATTTAGTTTATATAGTCTCTAAACATTAACCACTCTGAGTAAGTGAATGGCACTGAAAGTGCAAATGTACCACCACCATTTTAGTGATACGCAAACCACTTCACCACATTATGGTTTAGTGTCATTGTGCTGAGTCTTCTGGTCACTGAATTTAATCATTTTTTGCTATTCAGTTTGTGTTTCGTGTGGCGGTTGAAACAGTCCTCCAACAGTAAAATAGGCAGTGGCAGTACCCTTGTTTCTTCTCCAAGCTCATGTAATCAGTGCAACCTCCTCCGGCGCACGTTTGAGCGAAATCTTTGCCGGCTACTTGGCAACCATGCCCTTGCGACACACGCCCATAGTTCGTGATCTTGCATTGTGCATGGTACTCATTTTGCTCGTCCTCTACTAGTTTTTAAATCAGACATTCATCGCTGCATACCACGCACCTGGATTTTGTCATACAGCTCATTTCAGATACAAGCAATAACTCAGGTATCGCCAAATTCAGTGAAGATCTCTTACTCTTCAGTTTCGCTCTTTTGCCAACTTTCTATCCCTCTACCATCTCAGCTGCCTAGTTCCAAAATTAAGATGTTCAACACACCCTGAAATCTGCTTTACTGCTTATATGACATGCTTCCACTTGAATTACGGACGAGACCATTTTACACGAACTATTCACCGGCTCCCATAGAGCACCCACGCTCGATTCTGTCGTGAGAGTTGTATTCGGCACTCTTCACTCTCCCATTCCTACAGATGTCCACACAACCCTGAAATTGCTCACCAAAAGTTTGACCTGGCCAAACCTGGGCAGCTCTGTTCCAGATTAAGCTCGCACCCACCTTTGACATCATCGACTTAACGTACCTCAACACGTGACTGCATTTTACTTCCAGACTTGAGTGAAAACACTCCTCTTCTACTCATAAACGTAGGCGGGGGCATGCTGCTATGCTTATCAACAGAGCTAGTTCTCAGTACGGCGCTGAAATTATCGAAAATCATTTTCTCACCCTCTTTTTTAGTTTTTTTATCTCGCTCAACATATATGCCAACATTTCCCTGCACTACGCGGTAAATATATTCAGATATGCACTAAATGGACTATGTTTCCACCTTTTCTAAACTGGCGCAACACGTCTCAGTTTTCCACATCACGGCCCCACCTATGTCTTTTTGCCTTTTTTCGCCCACTTCAGACGCTAATGGAGGCCAAACTATTGTTTGTTACTCCTTTAATCGCCGCCTTCATGACTGATTACTTCTTTCTGTATGAGACAGCTCATCATCCACCATCGTGCTCGTTATTGACAGACCGGGGACAGGACCTTACCCTTCTTGCCTACCCCTCTGTGATCCCCCTGGGACTCTTTTTGCCTAAATGTATATTAAATTACATTTGGATTGCGCGTCTCAATCCATCCACACAAAGTGTACTTCAAAATGACCCTCAACCTCGTTCATTATACCGTTGTACCAAGTGTTGCCCATGACCCGGTGGCTTAGGGGTAGCGGTCACAACTAACATCCCGATGGTCCCGGGTTCGATACCTGATAATTCCATCTGATGAGGTGTAATAACATCGAAACGCGTCATAGTAGTGTAGTGTTTTCGGGCGGACATCACCCAATTTCTATTTGCATCAGCTACGGTCCTCGTGATCGAAAGACGAAGGTTCACTTCAATGGGAATCGCAGTCAACATTGACATTGTGCGTCGCAATCCATCCATACAACGTGTACTTCAAAATGTCCCTCAACCTCGTTCATTATCCCGTTGTATCAAGTGTTGCCTGTGCCCCGGTCGCCTAGGGGTAGCGGTCACAACTAACATCCCGATGGTCCCTGCTAACTCTATCTGATGAGGTGCAATAACATCGAAACGCGTCATAGTAGTGCAGTGTTTTCGGGCGGGTAACACCCTATTTCTATTTGAGCTGCACCATGTTCGACTATTTTTTTTGGTTCCTACATCTCTGCCTCACGCAAGCTGTATTAGCAACGCTACCTTCGAGAGCATGCTTTTTTAACTTGTCCCTTAACGGATTTAACTTTCCATCGACTTTTAGGAGACAATCCTGCTTTTGATACTTATGCTGCCCCTGATTTATCCGATTCCTACTGTTGTGGTTTTGTCTTGATCACTATTTTATTTTTCATGACGATAAGTATACTATGTTGGTGCCACAATTGCCGTAACTTATTGCACGGGTTTGTTCACGTTTAGGGATGCTAGTGTCGATTCAACCGGGTTAGACCTGGGTAAACTTACAGTATCTCTTCACGCAAGGCAATGCAAAGTCTTTCAACAAACTTCGCATGGAATAGTCTACAACGCCCTATCTGCTGCATTGGGCGGGATAGACAAGCTTGAAGGTGTTATTGCTCGGGCCTTCCTGTTTTATTCCATCTTCCACATTTTCGTACCTGCTGCACCATACCAGCTTACTTTTATTCCTCATTAAAGCAAGGCAAGGCAAGGCATGGTATTTTATTTTTCTTAACGACCGTCTACTTTAAGCTGTATTGCGTCACCATAACTGAGGTTTTTCCCACCTCTTGATATCGCTTTGAATGACGAATGCCAAGTATCATAAGATAACTTTGGCCCGCTGTCATTTGACACATTACAGTGGTTCTCTAGTGAGAAAAAGGATTGCTGTAGGATTTGCAGAAGTCAGGAGTTTATTTCCTTATTGTATCTGAGAAGACCTCTTGCGATCATGCGACCGGAATTTCAGAAATCAGAAATTCGTGCGATTATCAACACTGGGACGCAGCTACTTATCTAATCGGCCGGTGTGTTTTTAGGTCCTCCCTTCTCTTGCGTCTGGCTTATTTCAAATGCTATCGTAACTGCTAGCAGCGTTTTATTTTTTCCATTTTATTTTGCCCTCCTTTTTCTTTACAACTTCCGTAGCGCTCATCTATCATGCCACAATCTTCAGTGGATTCTTGGCTCTGTTGAACTACTCACATCGGCGCTTGTCTAAACTTGTTATCTCTGCTTATGTTGGTCTTACGCTTCCAGTATTTATTTGCTTGCCTTATCCGTTCTATCATCTGAATGATATTCTCTTCTGATGGCTTTTCCAGTTGTGGTAATGGTGGAAGAACAGGACAATTCAGTTCCCGTTTCGTTTTTGAACAATAGTCGAGAAGCCGTACAAATTGTTGATTTGGAGCAAGTGCGTTTCGAATACACCTACTTATCTGTTACCATTTCACAGTTCCTTGGTGGCGACTTTCCATCGTCTTGTGACTTGGACAGACTTACTGAACTGCGTGAAGATGAGTCTTATGATGATGCGCTTCCCTATTTGGTGCCCAATGAAGCTCTCTATTCTCGCTATTTGAATGGTTCGCTTAGTTTCGATGAACTCATGCGTGAAATGCATCGCAAGGAAACCCCTGTGCGGGCTCCTAGAACGGCTGATACCCAAAAGTACAAACCCGAGTCGGATGAGGACATTGACTCATCTGAACAAAGTGAAACATCTGATCCGGAGTATATTCCACGTGAGCTTGTTTTTGGGCTTTCTCACACAATATTGTCTCCAGTGTTCTTGGTAAACCCTTATACCATTCTATTGTGGAATCATTAGTTTACATCCTTTTCTGTAACTAGCCACCATTTTCTTCACTTCTTTGGGACTTGCTATTCCGCTTGTACTATTTCCAAACGCATTTTATATTTAGATGATTATAGCTGACCTTAGTTTTGGTCTATTTATATCACGGAGCATGCAGCACTAAATTGCAATTGACCCGAACAGATGTCGCTTCTCCATGTCATAGCGGCTGGATTCACGTCATCTACGTTGTTGACCTCATTTTTCAGCCTGTGAAATCAGTCTATTCTGCGATGCATATCCCGAATCAAATTTACAATTAATGGGAATAGGTGTTATGCCCTGATTCGACAGTTTACTTGAAGAACGTGCGTGAACTTATCCGACGAAGTGGTGTGGGTGTCAGACTGGTGCAGAGTGGGTGTGTAGTAATAATCCGGTATTGGGCTGGCGAGTTTCTTGTTGTGACCTGTTACGACGACTTTGAATATTGTATACCGTATTGTGCGAGCAAGTGAAACTTTAACTATATGCAACTCCATCAGTATCTAATCACAAATATCACAAACAGTATCTGCCACTGTTTGCCAATCGTTCTCCAAGTTCTTGTGGCTTTTAAAAATGTCTGACTTACAGTGTCACTGAGCTCACAAATCTTACATGTCCTTGTCAGTATGTAGCCTTTCTCAGAATCAAATGGAGGTGAAGTGTAAATGCAACAAAGTTTTGAACCACTGCACAGTCGTGGCCTCTGCGGCATATTCTGACAGACTGTTCGAAACATTTATCACTCCATGTTCGAAGCACAGGAGGTGGATAATCGTTCTATACCCGGCACCACAAGCTTGTGCTGGTGTCCACGTGTGCTGCATAGCGTTCGCAAGTGAAGAAACGGCCTTAACGCGGGAAAGTCACCAATATGTAATATGCGGTGGACCTTGATTATATCGATTCGCAGCGGTCGATAGGACAATACGTAAAGTCCTAGTTTCATGCACCAAACTTCGTACGGCAAGCTCTTAGCCCCAGTCATCCGGCTACAGCGTCCGGAGCGAACACCTTTTTGCGTTTTATTGCGGCCACTGTTCAGTAGTTCGCTGATCTCCAAGTGTAACTATTTTGTTTGCTTCTACCTCTTACCCGAATGGTCTGTTCTTCAGGTCAAAAGGTGTCCGGTTCTCGTCGAACTTATACGACACGAGTGAGTGTGTACCTTTCTGATTGGCATCTCATCCCCATTCACTTCCGGTTCCTCACACACTTGTACTTTCGTTCCCATAACGTTTTTGCATTTAGCTGACAAACCTCTATCACTATACTCTGGTTTCAGCGCAACAGCCTTCCCGTTGAACTTGCACAGTATCTCGGTGAAGCAGAGCGCTGCCTTAACAATGACCAGTTTGAGGAGGCTGAAAACATTTGTCAGACAATTATTCGTTCAGGTAATTTGCTTTACTTGCTTGCATTTCTTGTTTACTCTGTCGTTCTGTTCACTTCCGTTTTTCAACCTTTGCAAAGATAAACCTTGCTTCAGGGTCTTGGAATAAACTTAAATCTGACTGGGAACTCATAGTTCCCAGTGAGTTTTATAACATAATTTGGTATCGTAACGGATTGTAATACAGCCATTACAAAACCGATTTGTGTTTTGAAACTCACCGAAATTGTAAATCCTGCTTGTTGATATATCCCCTCACGAAAGTGTCCCACATCAGTTTTCAACGACTGCCCCTTCTTCTGGTGAAATTTTCCATTACCCCTTGGCTCTTTAGCCACAACTCATCATCTGTCGTCTTCTTTTCTCTTCTGGACTTCCTCGATGTATCTGGTCCGCCGTTGCCGTGCCACTGATACCGCACTTCTCTCACTTATCATTTTTGACTTGTTTCAACCTAGGACTCCATATTCATCTTTGGAAATGCGATCAATCTGACATTCGTTGCAAACCGCGGGCTTTGTGCGTACCTGCGTGTATGTAGTTATTGTGACGCCTTGACGCATCAGTTACCGAACGTTTGCCGGCCCGTAGCCTAAAGGTAACGGGCTCGTCTTGTGATCTGAAGGTGCGTGTTCGAGCTTGTGTAGTGGCACGGCGACCCTCGCAGTATCCTTAGCCTACGTGCGACCGGCGGTGGTTGCGCGGCAGCGAAGCGTCGGTACTGCGTACCGGCGTACTGCTGACGCCTTATTGAACGTTCATACGGAAATTTGCTTTTTTCTTGTTTAACTGTTATCACAGGAATCATATTATCTTCATCCCAAGACAGTTGTTTATCTTCTGCGGTTTCACTGCATCAATTGAAACCCGTTGCTCTAGGTATTGTAGTCACTGACGGCCAGATTTGAAACTGTTGGTTTTTTCCCCCAGGCTGACATCCATACGATCCATCTTATTCAGTTTTTTCTAATACTTCTGTTTAAGCAACCATGATCCGGACACCTAGATGCAGTAAATCCAGTTGCCGCTACTCACGTTGTCAGATTACATGTACATAACAAGGGGAAGAAAATGATGCTGAACGCAAACAGTGTGCAAAGATGAGGTCAAAAATGCGTTATACTAATCGGGATGCAACTAGATGCAAGAAACCAAATGCAGGTTTGTCGTTGACTGCACGACCGCACCATGCCCGATAGCGTCTCCATTCACTGGTGTGGACAACCTTAACGCCCACCTCCACGAAGGCGGCAAGCGCCAGGCTAACCAAGTCTCCCATTTTATTTCTTTGTGCCACATCATCTCGCAGCTTCACCCAAGTTAGTGCAGCCATGGCGTATAATGCATATCGAAGGATCCGGTCAACGGGCGTACGGAGGACATGACCTAGCCAACGTAAGCAATTAAGATTCAGCAAATAGATGAGCAACCAGAAGGCTTTTGTCAAAAGCCAATTGGCTAGACTTCAGCATTGCTCAGTTGATGTTCTCACCAGATGTGAGCAATACTCTGCGAGCACTGGTGGTCGAACACGGTCAAGAGTATAATTTCTTCGGCGCGAACTGACCACATCTCTGATCCCTACAATAACACCGGCCTTATCGCGGTGTTATACTCACTTGCTTGTCAGACTGATATCTCACCGTTTCCATAGTTTTTTGATCCTCTGAAAAGCCACACGAGCCTTAATGATACTCGTACTACTTTTAGTGATGTGGCTGCAGAAGTAAAACCGCTGCCAAGGTAAGTGAGCCGATCCAGCACTTCCAGTGGCTGTTCGGTGATAATTAGAAGCGGTGGCTTGCCAAACCAGTCCTGTAACAATACTTTGCACTTTAACAGAGCAAATCACATGTCGAAGCGTGCAACACAGTGCTGGTCTTTTCAGTAGTGCTCACATAGTCACTGGGTCTGACCCAATCGCATATTCAAACTTCGTCAGTCAGTCATCTGGCATCATTTCCACTCCGAAAGAGTGAAGGATCTGAATCATGCATGCTCATCACAACTACAAAGTTGGAGAAGAAAAACCAAAAACCGAAACCCTGACGATCCTCACTTGTTGGAATCATGGTAGAGAGACTTCATAATGGAAAATAATTTTCCAGGCACTTTCTTCATGGGTATGCAGTGCGACAAGCTGTTTCGATAAATAGATTCGGAGGCAAGTTTCAAGTCAAGGAGAATCACTGTACTCGGTCGTCTGTAAGTGTGTCTCTAACACATGAAGAAGACTAAATATGTGGTCCATGTACTTACGACCACTGATTTGACTCTCACGAGGACAAGTGAGACCTCGAAGTACGGTATCCATGGGACTTTGGGAAGCAATAAAAATAGGGATATTGCCTTGATTTTCGAAGAAGGGCACGACAGTTCACAGTCACTAAACTGAGGCGTCTCTTCAGTGTCCCAGATGGTGTTAAACAGAGCGGAAAGTCAAGTCGCCATGACACCTTCATTTTCAGCAAAGATGGTGAAAGGCCGCCGAGTTCACGAATCTTGTTTGGCTTCAACACGACAAGCTTATTACGAATCTTTTCTAAAGTGAGTGGCGTAATGCCAAACTCCCACGTAGGCCTAGGTAATTCCGCAATTGTTACTGTCGCAGCAGGGCTACTGAACTCTTTAAATTTTCTGCCCAACAGGCCAGTTGACGTGGTTGAGAATGGATCAGCTCTGCATCTTTAACAGCCGTTGTCTCATGAGGATTTTCTTGGACCCGTATTCCGGATGAGCTGGAACAGGACTTTGCTGTTCCGTCTCACGGGTCCTTGTCATGTTCTCTATCAACTCTAAGACTGCCAGTCGTCGGCGTTATGGGCACGCTGAAATTCAGCAGTCAACGGGACCTGTTTGGGTGCTTCAATCAAACTGATCGATACCTCGTAGATTCACCTACATTTCGAGCATCTCAAGTTAGGCGTACGGCGGGCGTCAAAAACACTTTTCATGGCACACTTGAGGTGATTCCAGTCGGTGTTCGGTTCATCATGCCATTCATTACTGACATGTGGTAGACCAGTTCGTTATACTACTGTTAAACTGCACGTCGAAGATACACATGACTAAATTTGGAGTTGAGCGCCTTTTTGGAACAAGAGTGAGCACCAGGCGTGTGCGCACTGGAGCGTTGTCGGAATCCGGGCATACACTCCAAGTTGGACCGACAGTTTTGTACCGATGCGATCTATGTTGATGGCAATCTGGTCAATTTGGTCTCAGGTCATTGAGGAATTCGGTGGGCTCCAGATGGCACGGTTGATTGCTCTGGAAAGCAGTCCTGTTGCTATAAAGACTATGGTCTGTACATAGTTGAATACTCGATCGCCATTGTCTGTTCGGCATGCATCGACTCCGAACAGCCCAGCAGGTGTTGTTCCGAGTCCGAAATATGCCCCACTTGGACATTCAAGTCACCAACAACATTCACGATATCAGTATTTTTAGCCCTCCGGGTAGAAGATGAGAGCTGTTGATAAAAATCGTCCTTTATCTCTTCTGAATTGCAAAGTATAAATCCACCTTGTGCTTCGCTCGAGCTTTTACTGAACATGTCCCAGATGCCGAACCACTAGGGATTTTGCCGTCGTCTCCTAATCGAATTGCCTATTTGCTTTATCTGGTGCCAAGCCAACTACATGACAATAAGCTAGTTATGGAGCGAATAAGTTGAGGCTCCAATTAACCTGTGTCGCAGATACCGCCACATCTTCGCACAATAACCATCTGTTTGTGTTCTTGTTGTTGACATGAATCGTGTAACCATTGTCACTTTTGTTGTAACGTAGAAAGGGTTTTAGCAGTACGCCGGTACGGAGTACCGAAGCTTCGCTGCCACGGAACCATCCCCACTCGCACTCGGGCTAAGGACACTGCAAAGTCGCTCACACCAACGCGGACTCGAACCGATAACCTCTGGGTCACAAGGCAGGCTTCTCATCCCTTCGGTCATCTGCCGACTTGTTCGACTTCCTATTCATGGTGGAATGTTCGGCCCTGTGCCCCTCGCGGGTAATATAACCCTGACTGTTGCCGATAGACCACCGGTCAATCAGTTGAAACTACTGATTTTGATGATGTTCAGTTTAGTGAAGATTCGTCACAGTTAGACTCAGGTAGACAGCGACCACATCCAGGAAAGCGCTAGACGACCGTTTTGTGCTATTCGGACTCGTCAATAGCGCGCACCCGCCGAATCCTGCCTGGTTCGAACCCGCGACCTTACTCTTGCGAGCCAGCGACTTATGCCACTGAGGCATGGGCGACGGCAGCAGACCGCCATGACTTATACCCCCCTACTACTTACAGACATTCAGTTACACCTCCATCGACTTACTCCAGCACTCTGGTTATGTCAGGTTACTGTGGTTACATCCACGTATCCAGCCAGATAAAGAATGCTTATGTTAGATCTGTCACTTTATACATGATTCAGACTGGACTGAAATTGTCCTCTATTAGGTCCGGATTTCAGTGGTAATCAGAAGTCAACGCCTGGAGGCAAAAGTGTTGTTAAAGCAGCTACCGAAACGGGTACGTTTATAGGTCAACCTAGGAATGTTCACATCAGTTGCCCTAGTCGGGCGTTTAGTTCCACTAACTAGTGATAAGGTAGGTAGCGCGACATATGGTGTACGCCAGTTTTCCCAGAAAGATTTGGTGCTTCACCTGTACCCCATTGGGTGGCCAACTCCTTTTCTCATTGAAACCATGATTCCTCCTAGGAGGTTTTACTTTCTCCTGGACAATTTTTCCTAACCGGAGCATTGACAGAACAACCTTGAGATGCTATGAGATGCACACCGTTCCACTTGACTTCACTGGTTCAATGACTGTACTTACTCCTTGCATCGAAGGGTCTCGCAATCTAACTTGCTTACTTTTCTGCTGCCTGTGCACCGCTATTCTGCATTTGTAATTTTGCAAAAGCTGCAGTCCTTCATTGGTTTCATGATTATGCCTTTTTAAAACAGTATAGGATTCCATTTCGTTTTCGCCGTATAACGCTTGTGGTTGAGCAGCAGATTTTTTCACCTTCCCATTGAGCTATCCGTGTTCACCATTTACCAGTTATGGTCTTGCTACACACGCACTCGATTCATTTGTGGCTCCTTGTATCTTTAGCCCCTACATCTTCCCAGCCATACATCGTGATGGCAGAAGTGTACTATCGAAAGGGAGACCAAGAGAAATCCAAAGAGGTAAAATCATTGTTCTTGCTTATGCAACATTTACGTTTGTTTTATCTAGAGAATATGTGGTATTTGTGGATGAGTTTTTCTCATTCACATCTGTTCACTGTTTTCACCGCCCATTGAGACCTCCGCCATTTCCCTTTTGTCCTTTTTCTCACCTATACCCCACACTCATATATGTACTTCGGCTGTTTTTCGGCCCGATGAAACAGGTCCTTTATCCTTTAATACAGCCCACTTTTTTGTGGCCATCCTCTGTCTAATCGGCTCCACTGAGGATAGATTAAGCGGTTTATTGTAATCACACAGTTAGCATCCTCTCAAGTCAAGTACAACTGTGCTTTATGCATCCGTGAAGGATGAATATTCAGTCGCACCTCATTTCGAAAATCACAGCCATTTATTCCCGACTTTGGCATTTGTACGTGTTTCACTTTGTCTTCAGAAACACACGTTCCACGCCCTACCACCACCCCTGTTCTCATTTATCTATTAAGCTAGCCATTACTGTAACTTCAATGTCTTTCGTTGTACTCGTGGTACAGCACATTTCCTCTCGCAATTCATGGAGTTTCTTTTTTCTAACTTCACCGGCGGTAATAAGGCGGCCACCATTCTTCTTTCGAGCTTCCTTTTATTCTACGCTAACGACTCTTGCTCACTTCAAAACTCCCTCTCAGTTCTACTGGCTCCTATTAAAAAAACCATATTTGACTTATTTTCCGCCTTGATTCTCTATTGTTCGTAACGGGTTTCTACTTCCACTTTGGTTCGAACTAACTGCACCTAACATATTTTATCGTTAGCTTGGTTCTTATTTTGACTTACTCGGGATTGGAACGTTTACAACTGAATTCAGTTTAATTTGATACGGAAGACGCGGAGCTGTAGTACTTTACTATCTATCGATTTGTCTTCCACAACGATTTGTGACTTCATTCCATATTCCATTTTTTCTCTCTGTTCATTCGGACCGCATAGATACCCTCACTGGTTCCCGGTTTCTCCGCATAGTGTCAAGTCACCACTGCAGCCTGCATATTTATTATCTGTTGTCATTTTCTACCACCAGACGGCAAGCGTTCATCTACGCATAGCAGTCAGCATTTGACGTGCCACCCGTTCTTTTCTCGGCTCTTTGTTCACTGTTTCCGCATACTTTGTTCCCTTTATGTTTCATCTGCTGTGCAGTTTCTCTTGGCGGCGGCAGAGCGCAACCCTGCGGACTCCAACCTTTGGATGTCATTGATCGAGTTCGCAGAGGAAAAGAATGATTTAGCTTCCGCGATGCACTACACAAAGCTCGGTGAGTTAGTGTCTGTGTTGTGGATCCCATTTATAGTACTTTACTAGATTTTTATACCTTTCTTGTTTCGTTTCAGCGGTACGATATGCTAATCGGAACAGCTCTTTGCGCCAGAGGCTTATTCAGTACTACGAAAAGGCCGGTCGCAGCAGGGATGCCCTCTCTTTGAAGGTCACGGCCCTATCCAGGACACCTGCAGCAACTGGGGAGGAGCATTTCCGCATGGCTAGGTCACTTGCCGATGTATGTTCATTGCTTGTTGCATATTAACTAGTTAAGCATCTTAAGCAGGTAACGATCGCCGGATTCCCTACTCTTGCTATTTCTCGTATCGGTGTATTCTTATCCCGTAACCTTCTGTCTCATTTGTTTTGGACGCGCGACGCGATGACATCGCTTCTTTCCCTATCACATGGATAACGCATCCGGGTGGGAACATAATGGGTTCCGTATTTGTTTTCTTGTAACCGCCATGTCACTGCAACTCCCTTTTCTAATCTGTCTAGTTTCACACTGCTGTCTGGAAGCAACACTGTCACTCGCCACATAGGTGTAACTGATTTTTTCTTTGCGTCATTGCCTTTTCGTTGTCTTTCCTCTCTATCTGGGAGACGGATTTTGGCGAAGCGATCCAATCCACTTTCTATACTTTGACTCACACTGAGGTACAGCATAAGCTCTTTTCAACTATCTATTGGCTTGTTATGTAGGCTTTTATGTCTACAGAGCAGAGGTTTAGGAACCATCTGGACGCTGTGTTGGCCCCACATTCCTTCGGTGTTCCATAGACTCGCATTGCTGCTAACTCCTAAGTAACTTTTGTGTGACCTTCGAGTTGGCTATATTGTTTCTAACTTTATTCGATCCTTTTCTATCCTTATCCACCTATCTTGTTGGGCTACCAATTGAACAGGTGCAACGGTGCAGTCATTTGCATCTATGTACGTCAAACTGTCAGTTTGATAAACTGTTTTTCATACGCGATCGATGCAACCCTTCTTGCCTCAGATGCTCGCCATCCCACAGCTTCACCGAAAATACCGCGATTAATTACTTTTTGCATCATTCTCGTAACCACACTCGTGGCATTTATCGTTATTCTTACTCAGGAATTTTTCAAGCTGATGGATCGTGTGAACTCCATTCGGGCTTATGAAGCTGCCTTTGAACACTATCCAAATGAGGGCACAGATTCTGGTGAGTTCCTAAGCGACATATGCTCCGGCACTGAGTTGCACGCCATTTTTGCTTTATACTTACAGGTTCGTATGCCGCATAATGGCATGGTATTGGGGCGACAGCATTTGGAATTCGGTGTGTGATTCAACAGCAATGGTGTTTCAGTTGGCTTCAGTGCATTCCCCGTGATCCGAGCACTGACTGCTAGCAGCAAACCCATCCTTCGTAACTCGCGTCATCGTGCTAAGATTCACCAGTAGCAAACGGAAGTTGGAACGAGCGCGTAGCAGGCAAAAGCCATCCCGTAAAGATTCGATACTTCGAATCTATAATCATTCACCTTGGGAATGAACAACTGAGACTTTGATTCCGCAGCACCACCATATTCTCGACAATGCGATGTGAGTGGTTGCTGCTAAGTACCGGCGCTTGATTTATTTGCCATCATTCCAGATGGTTTATTTTTTGACTATCTACCTTCACGTTTTATTGGCACGCAAGGCAGGTTGCCGAAGTCGGTTAATGCAAACCCAAACGTGACCTTACCAACCGAAACGGGTCAATTTTTGCAATCCCTAGCAATGGCAGCGTTAGTAGTTTCAATAGCAATGTTTTCTACCCCTCGTTGTCAGTACGGCGTCATTTCCACTATTCAGCACGACCGGTCTACCTTGGCTCGCTCAGGGTTATGTGGGATTTTATTTTGGCCCCAATTACTTGGGACGTAATACTGGTTATTAAGTTACCCGAGACCCGTGAAGTTTTTATCGATGTTAAAACACGTACCGATACCCTTCAGGGTCGCATTGTTTGCTTCCACTCTGCTTACGAGCAACTGTCGAGGATCCCGATCTTTCGGATAACAGATGGTCGACTAAACTGCTGGGCGAGGTTGAAGCCGGGTCTAAATGTGAGGAAAGGCTCGATCTACTGTTGCATCAATTGTCTGATGTGTTTGACGTTAACCGCAACCGTCCTGGGAGGACTGACGTGCTACAGAACCGAATAAATACAACGGGTCACCATCCGATACAACAGAAATGTAGACGTGCCCATCCAATATCAGATACAATTAGACGAAACGATAGGGTGTGTGTTAAAAGAACAAATTATTCGGCCATCATTTTCCTGCTCGTTCCCAGTGGTGCTAGTTAGGAAGAAAGACCAATGGTTGCGGTTGTGTGCAGATTATCGCAAATTAAAAGCTATCACCCGGCACTACTCCTTCCTTCTTCCAAGGATTTATTTCACTCTTAAAGCGGTTGCTGGGGCCCAGTGGTTTCTACCCTTGATTTATCGTCTGATAAACCAAAACAGCGTTCGCAGTCCCTTCGGGATTGTACGAGTTTGAGACCATACCATTTGGTTTACTAACGCTCCAGCCACGTTTAAAGACTAATGCAACAAGTGTTGGGACAGCTGGTTTCACCTTGCTGCTTTATTTATCTCGATGATATCGTACTCCATGGTCGTTCAGAGGAACAACACAATCATCATCTCGCGAGCTACTAAGTAGCCTCCGTGATGCCGATTTGATGCGGAACACGAAAAACGTAAATTCTTCCGAAAACTGGTATTGTTCTTTGGCCACATAATATCTGACAAGGGGTGCGAAGTAGAGAACTCAGAAATCAACCGTATACTCATCTGGCCAACTCATTCTAACGCAACAAGATTACACCCTGTATACCAGCGCACTGACAATGCCACGTCGCATGGCGGCGAAACGTATGCAACCAAATCTCCAAGCTCGGCGGGCAAATGAGCAACTGCAGCGACTATGTTTAGTTTAATTTCCTCCCTTTCCATGCTGATTTACCTGCATTAGAACTAAATCCCATCTCTGGGAAGCCGACCATCTCATTTCTTTTACGATTAACGACTACTTATTTTTCCCCACAAACACTGACATTTCGTGTCGACTTTTCCCTCTCATGGGTCGTCTGTCCAGCTACGATGCAATTTGTTACTCTGCATGCCATGCGTCTCGCCCTATGCGTTAGCTCAGTGTACGTGAGACAGCATCTAGCGGACTGAGTTCCTATCCACGTTGTTTGTATAATTAAGACGAAACTACGATAGTACGCGTCCCATAGAACACTGAGATGCGCGGAAAAATATTCTCTCTTCAAGTAAGCACTTTGTATGCAAGAGACCAGTGGGATTTCAAATGTATTAGCAGTCAAGCCAGGCATAATTGTGCCAGGACGGCAACGCCTGAGACAATCCCTTTCCTGTTAATCGGGGAAATATTATCTGCAAACTACAACTATTACTTATCGGTGGATGCTTTCTGATAATTCATGAACCGTTTGTCCTGCTTTTCCCTTTTTGGATGGGATTTCTGTTGAATCACCGCTTTTTGGATGAATTTTTCGTGACGTTGGTTCTTCCGAACGTTTGACATATGATTTCGATTACTCAGACAACCATACATTTCTCTAAACGAGCCTAGCTACTATGTAAGCATTCCTGGCCCAAGTGATGCATAGCACTGCACGCCGTGGTACTTCTGCACGGCTTAGCTGATATGCTACCAATTTTCACTATTACCGAACATCTCGTATCGGTCCGTCACTTCATCTATCTAGATAATTTCCTCCTGTTTGGTTACCAGCTTACCGAAGACCTTATCGTAAGCACTGTAAACTTCGTTGGGCTGTTACATGCCTTCTGGGGAGGTATGGTGTTAGCTTATCATTCAGCTCCGTTCACTTCCGGTTGCGATCCGTGCACTGATTCGATTCTGTCCAGTTACCACTAGCGTCACCATGGGACCAAACGGGTATCCAATGCTTCTCCATATATCCGTGTGGCCAACTGACTGGGACCTGTCTACGATGACTCTTCCCTAAAACTTCGCCAGAACCACCTACTACTCTTTAACGATGTCACTTACGTTTAACTGGTCTAATGGAAACACTCTTCCTAGCTCCATTTTTCCAGTCAAAAGCTTCATCTACTGTGAATGTGATCCCTTGACAGTATCAACTTCCTCCTGTGCTTCAAGTGATTAACTCGAATGGTAAAATTGGGTACTTTCCAGTAAAATCTCCCGCCTTCGTGAGCAGTCGGGGACCGTCACCTACTTTTAAAATTTTGTTTATCATTTATCCTCCAACTTTTATTTTTTCCATCTATCACAGGCAATCTCTCTGATTAACCAGTAGATGATTACTTCTTGCTCCTTGACACTCACGCTAGACTGGTGTTCGCAGTTAGGTTCCTTCCGGTCTCAATATCCAGAGCAAGTCTACCGCTGAGATAGATGGACGACTTACTTTTATAAATTCATAAACAGGAGCGTTGTCCTAAGCATTTCGCAAAGCATTTCGCAAGCCCGCTTTTTCGCTACTGTCTGCTGGACTTCAATACCACACTTTCCGGATCATTAGGGTTCGGCTGTAAATCGGTAGTATTAAGGAGGAACGTAGTTCTTAACCCTACTGAATTCGTTCTTTTCTTGCCAATATGTTAGAGTGAATCTCACTTATATTAAATGTCATACGCATCCACAATGATTACTGTCGAATATTGCTGCATGATAGCTCTTAAGGTATCAGTTTCAATTTCATTACTTCCAAACCTCACACATGCCTTCTGCATCGATGACACACTTCGTGGAAGCAGGCCGATTCCATTCATATAGGTTTATTCAGTACATTTAGTGTGATCTTTGGTCAGCGTCGAGTCTACCGATAACCTAGCATAGCTTTCCCTAACTCGATTACTTTTGCTTCATATAACCATGCTTGTGTGACGCTTGAAGCAACTTACCCTTCTCTTCTGACTTCTATGTGTTACGACTTTCGGAGTTTTGTACGGATTAACGAATGGCTATCTCCTGCTTCGCTGTAACACGACGCAGGCTTCATGGCCGAGATATTTGTCATCTATTGGGTGCGAACTCATTAAATGCGTCCATTCTGACCGCTACATTTGGAATGGAAGTTCCACCGATTGAATACCTGGTATGTGTTTTTATCTTCCTAATGTCTACCTTGAGCTAACAAGAGACGCACGTTATCTTGCCAACTGCTCTCTGCGATCCTTCGCCCTGTCAACTGACTGGTGTTCGGCCTAATTTACCTTAACTGTTGGCTTGTGCTCTCCATTATGGTGGTAAAAAATCTAGAGTGACTAATGAACTTATCTCTCCGTCCTGTTAACTACTTTCTGTAGGCAGAAATATCGTCTTCGGAATCACCGCTCGGTCTATCGTGTTTTTGGCCCTTCCCCGTTTGAGTTATTTATATTTGAGGCACAAAAGCATGTCTAGATTGCCTTTCCATTTTACATTTACTTTACCGGTTTCGTATACAGTCCATTATTCCCTTGTTGGATTTTTCGTATCGGTTTTCTTTCTTTTGAGATAAGAACACCGTCTTATCCATGATGCTACAGTTGGAAAAGTACGATAGTGCACTCCGAGTGAGTATCTCACGTTTTTCTGATCACCTTGACTCTAATTCTCGTTGTTCTTGCTCATAATCCAACCTTTTCATTCCACTAAATCACCTTCAAGCCTCGGCCTTGGCCTATGCTCCTTTCTGTGTAAGAGTGTCTTCTTTGTTTCAACTGAATTGACCCGTCGGAGCTTTACGTTTCGACATTCTATTCTGCATTTTACGCGCCATCAGGTTTTGCCATTGTGTACCTCTAGCGATTCCATCGAGCTGTACCACTATACACCTTTATTCCGATGAGCCATCCATCAGAGCACAACAGATACCAAATTCGAGAAACATACAGCCCAATAATATGGTTACGAAACCAGGTGTTCGTGCTTTCCGATTCTCTAGCGTCGCCGTCCCAAGAAGGTCGCGATATCTCCGGTAAACCCAGTCTTCATGCTTTGCTCACGTAACATCTATTTTAGGTTGCCTCTTTTTGCAATTTTTAGCTTTTGAACAGTGTTCTGTGCATATGTTGAGACAGATTAGCCCTATTGTTTCGTTTCCCGCTTCTTAATCGCTTGGTCCTAGCTCCCGCAAACAGACACATACATCTAAGGTACATTCAGGTTTAGGTTTGTTCTCCGAGCCGAACTATTTCGTTGCAGATGTTTTATCACCAATCGCTCATCTCCGTTTCAGTTCTTCCTTAAGTATTGCGGAGTGTCAATTGGAACAGTATCCGGTAAACTGCTCCGATGGGACCAACTATCTGAACAACTAAAGCGCCCAAATCGATACACCGTGTAAGGATTTTGGGTTTTCCCATCCCTCATTTATGTTTCCTTTCATTCATCGATCATTCAACCTAATTATATTCCGCACCATTTTTGCTTCAGGTGCAAATGTCCAGACACAATGTCACCAGAGCTTTACCTGAAATTGCTCCTCGTCCTTATTCGACTCAAACTGACCTGCATTGCTACGGTATGTTTTTCCACTTGATTTCACTGTCCCTGTTGGATGCATCTCGTTTCGATTTCATAGTTCAAGCATTCTCTCATCTTTACTAAGATTCTCATTGCGTGTGTAAAATTTGCAATCGAAAATTCGGCCTTTTGAAACTAAGCCCATCTCATAGGCCTTCATGCTGCCACAGATGTCACCCAAACATTTTGTAATGTGCTTGGAAACGGATGCCAACGGCCGACTGATGTAGGGTGCTCAGCTGGGTACAGTAACTTGATTGGATCCCCTTTTACTGGAACGGTACATGAATCCAGTAGTGCTGTGCAATCATCGAGTAGGAAACCCAGAATGTGCCTCATTAACTACTTAATAAATGGTATATTTGTCGACATTTATTATCAACACCAACACACGTTAGTTGAGAGTGGGAAACACACCTCAGCTAATGTGCTGCAATACAAAGTCGATGACATCCTAACAATTGCGCGTGAGTTGAAACCAGAAGACAAGCGATTATGGAAGCAAGACAAAGGAAGCCCAAGCGTTAGGGGATTGAAAACGGGAGATAACAGTGAATTTGGTACGGCACGCTAAGGATGAAAAAAGCTCAAGAGGGGAAATAAGAAGGCAGGATGGCCTGAGCAGTAGCATCCAAACCCAATCCACCCTGTTCGATGCAGCAGATAGGGCACTGTTTATTGTCCTCTGCGACATCCAGAGCATCAATAGATTATTTAATGGGATCGATGTGTCTCGACATTATGAGACACAGAAAAATTACGTCGGCTGATCATTTTGTACAACATAAGCGGATACTGGGCAAAGTTGTTCGAGTTTTATGATGCTCCCAATAAAGTGCTTGGAGTGTTCTATCTGTTGAAAGTAATACAAGTTTGACAATAAATGTAGGTATAGCTGGCAGTTGAAGTAAAGTAATACGGTCATTCATGGAACCGTCTCCTGGGATCTGCTTCTATTTGGGCTAATACCTCGATGAGTTTCATCTGGTCATGTGCTGATGTGGCTTTAAAACAAATATGCCGTCATCATTTTGATTCGTTTACTTTTTGGGCTGTTGTATTATGCAAGTTGGCCGCCATCAGTTTGACTGTTTTTTTTTCGACCTCTGTTGTGTGCGAGTATACCGTCATCACCTTGACCAATTGTTTTTTGGCCACGCTGTTACATGCTAGGCACTGCCGCCACACACCCCATTCTACCATTCAGCTGTTTTGACTCATGCACTTTTAATATTCGCCAGTGAGTCTGTGCCGATTCACCTTGCGTGAGTGTACTAGTTAGCTTAGAAAATCCAATCCGTCATTCCCTGCGATCGGCCCAGTCGTGGCCAACAGTGGTAGGTGAGATAAAAAAAACAAATATCTACATGGGGTGAAAGATCAATAACGATAACGGTCGTCCGATTCAAAGTGTATGTAAAGACCATAGAAAACAAATAATCTCCCAACGTACTCATTGAAAAAAGAGTTCTCAAAAGAATATTGAGATAGCTACGACAGCTGCAGGTGATCGAAAAGAGGAGAGCTTAGTGGCACAAATCCATATTGCAAGATATTGAGAACCATTGCAGATGCCCAAATTGCCTCCAGGGAAAAAGCGAAAACAGTCAGTAGTGTAGCGTAATTGTAGATAATGAACATAAAAAACTTAGGTTAAACGTCTACTATTACACAGATATTGTTCCGGCTGATCCTGACACACCCATCTAAGACTGTCGCTAAACAATTTTAACTGCAAGCGTGGGTATGACAAGGTGACAAGTACGTTGCGTGCTCTTTTTAACTCTTCCCATGTCCTTGAAAACATGGTTGCTCGATCGTTATCTGTCGGTCACACAGCCGCATTCGGTGAGGAGAAATTGGTTTAGCTCAGTTTTGTGCTGACCTCAAGATTGGCTTGCTCTTACTGAATGTGAATCTGTTCTGAGCACGGAAAAGTTCGCACGAATTCGCAACGTGGACTATTGTTGGGGAAGAATAAATTTTCTGTTCCTTAACTTATCATCCGCTTCAAACTTCAACTGGTTACTCGAGCTGAAGCTGAGATGGTGTATCCGTTTGCAAAAGAAAACTGGGTTCCTCTTTAGTCTCCTTAGCCATACAGGATCGATGCTCAGTAGCTTATATCTATCTTGATATGTAGCTAGCGATGATTCACTCGTAAAACGTTTAGTGAATGACCGCTACAAACGTCTCAGTGATAGTAGATCACTCTTGCGTATATGGCTGTACATGATTGGGCAATATATTCCGAAAGTGGACGAACACAAGTCAACTAAAGAGCAAGCGTAGCTTAGATAATATTATTGAGTTTTCGACTAAGCCTAAAGCGCTTCTTGTCTTTGGTACCTGTTGCTTTTTGGTAGGTCATTCTAGCTTACTCCCAGGTCACGGATGGGCTGAGGTGTATGGATTGGTTCCCCATTTAGAGTTAAGCTGTCTGGTGCGATGCTACATCTGCGAAAGAGGACGCGAAATTTGTTCGCGGAGCATTTAAGTAACCACTCATTTGACCAGAACTCATTGGGCATTTGAGGTCTGTCTGAATGGTTTCTATAAGTATCCGCAAATGTTCAGTTAGAAAGTGTAGACCATCTTCATATCATTCGCTAAAAGAAATAGTTTTCCGTATTTAACTGTCCGAAACATCATTGATATAGATGAGGAGCAGAGTGAGTCCAAGGACGCTGATTTGCAGTACTCCACTCATTGTTGCACGTGGTTGTGACTGAAGCTTAGAGCATACAATATTTATTTATTTATTTATTTATTAGTAAGACAGTCTGTGTGCGCTCCTCTAAAAGGATGGTAAACCAAGCCAGGAATGAGTCGCGTACGTCGAATGATTTAACTTCAAACATAAGTCGCTTATGTGGTACACAATCGAAGTCTATGTGCATATCCAGGCAAACCACTAGTACCATCTTTGCATCTGCAACCAAAGTAACGCATTCCAGGAAATCTGATTGGTAGGTGTTACGTGAGCGTCTATTCAAAACCGTGTTGTTGATCACTTCGGATTCCGCGCGACAGAAACTACCCAACCAGCGACTTTTTTCTACATTTTCAAATACTCTAGATATGATGGAAGTGTGATTAATGGGACTATAGTTTCCCATTTCGCCTCTTACATCGCTTTTGTGTCGTGGGATGCTGAGGGGGGAATGTTTCCACTGGGGCGAAAGTTCGCTACGTTTTAGAGAAAGTCTGGACATGTTACAAAGCAAACGGGGGTGTCTTCGCCGCTATGCGTGAGTACGACCGGGGCAATACCATCCGGCTCTGCAAAGTTAGAGGGTTGCACTGATCTTAGGTCTGATTTGGCCTATAGGAGTGTTATAACTACTTCCATTCGACTGATTGACATCAGCAAACTCGGGCCCGTTAATGAGTGAAGAAGCGAAATATTCTCTGATCGCTCCACATATATGGAGCGACTCGGTGATATTTACGTCATTAGGTAGGACTTACATGGCGATTATGTCGGTGCACCTGGGATTTCTTCACTGTGTGAGCGTAGGCGTCTTGCGGCAATTGAAAATTGCCAGCCACTTTTGGATTATACTTCTCAACCTGTTTTCTCTAGCGACTTTGTTGCAAAAGTTGTTAATGCGCAGAATCATACAGAAGTCACTACCCGTGTTATACCCGGCCCTAAGCTTGCGATACACACTTGGTGATAGTTTACTGGTGGTACTGCTCGCTGGGGTTGGTATCCATTTGAATGACGCGAGTATGTCTATACACGCTAAAAAATGCGTTAGAAACTCTTACGCGGACTTCGACGTTTCTGGTCTGAAAAAAATTATCCTACCTGAGAGGCCGGAGCAGCTTGGAAGAATGAGACCTAAAATATCGTAGGGGATGATATAGTATTATGGATCAGTTCGATTGGTCAACTCTTATCCGATCACCAGTACGCGATGGATCCACTCATTATGACTCAGGTCGCTATAGTAAGGAAATAAATATGTTTTGGTCGAAAACGCAAACACTGACGACGGAAAAGCCTTGAATTTGATAGGCGTATTTGTCCTACGGTAACGTGTACCAATTTTAGAAATACCGCTTCTGGTAGCCACGATTTTTATCCACGCAGCTTGCGATCTCATTTGGGATTGCATACCACCACAAACGCACAGAGTGGACCAATCGTCTTGGTTTACATTCGGCGTCAGTGCCTTTTAGATTGATTTTAGCTATGGGCTTCCATTCGGAAGCAAATGGTCGTGTTTTCTAGTTATAAATCTTGTAATTATGTGGCGTGTGCTACAAGAAGTAGTTAGTCTTATGGAGACTGTGTCACTGTGGTGGCAGCGGACTTTTCTGCTGCGCTGTTCTGAGAGCAATCCACTGTGGAACCTCTCTTTCCTGCGTCCCTTTGTTTTTCCTTTGCGGTGCAACGCTGAAAACCCATCGATCCTGAGTAAATAGACCAAAGTTCTCTGTACCTATCTTGTACACCTCCCCGCTAACCCACCTGCAAACCCTCTTCTACTCCTTGACCCAACAATGATTCACTTTCCCATCGTTTATGTTTTATGGTGAAGCGAATGAATTTATCTATTGTTCCGACTTCCTGACTTTCAAGTGTAATAGTTACTTTCATGGTGACTACTCTATCTCTCCGGTTGCATAGTCCAAGTATTTTGGCAAGCGATTCCTGTTGTTTGCATGCATGCATGTACGTCGCTGTTCACTACAAACCCCCCTCTTCAGCCTTTGGTCAGATCTTTCGTCACCAACGAAATTGCGGAACGATTTCCCGACTGGCTCTTTGATATTGCTCAGTCATACAGACTTATTGGCCTGCACTCTGCAGCCGGCGAGTTGCTTCTTAAAATGTCCTCCCTAGACGCGACTAAAGACGTGAGTTTCATTTGTAGCTGGTTTTTACCGATTTCCTGTCGATGTCGTTCTATGGTCGTGTGTGCCCGTCTCGTCCATAAATCCCACTCCCCATCTACATTTTCTCACTCCTCTGAGAACCACACTGGCTTGGAGCAGTGCATGTAGGGATCTGCTCAGCCACGGTGGCCTTATTGCATTCCATTAATCTTCATCTAAGCTGGTGTCACCTCTATTGTTGCCACTTTTTCTCGACTACAATGCATACAATGAGCCACCGATGAACTAAATGACACTCTTTTCATTTGATACGGGCTAATAAGGTTGTCTTATTCCGGATAATTGACTCCGTCACCTACGTAGTACCGAAAAACACCTGTTTCAGATGCAATCAGGCATCTTTTGAAATTAATCTACCCTCATATGACATCGTGATCAGTCGTCTTGTGTCCCTACTGACTATTAGACGACAGGGAGTACATTTAACATTAAATAAAATGTAGCCGTTCCGCATCTCGAGCACCGTGCGATTTTCTGAGAGTGCTGTCGCTCAGGTTGAGCCTGTTCGCGATTCTCCTAGGGACCGATCTGTCAGTTGATTCCCTAAATGGTGTGTCGGATGTTGCATTTGAATTATTCCGACAGGATTTTCATCCTCACTCCCGTACTCTCTTGTTTCTTGCACGTAACATTCCTATTTTAGCTTCCTCGTGTTTGGACAATGCTGGCTGAAGTCCAAGTCGAACAGGGCATGGTTGATGCTGCAATCCGTGCGTATCGACACGTTGTGGATACCCTGGACCCTAGACACACGGAAGCCCGCCTCGCCCTTGGAGGCCTGCTTCAACGTATCGGTCGGCAGCAAGAAGCGTTGGATGTGAGTCATTTCTCCGTTTAACACACTTATTCCTATCCTTGGCTGGTCACATTTCCCTCTTCTTGCATTCATATCTGTGTATATATGTGCTTATTATACACTGGCCTGCAAGATCCATCACACCTAGCCTTCTGTACTATCCCACTGGAATGGGGTGGCGCCTTTAAACCAGGTTCAGCAGGTGTACACTTATGTTTCAGCTGGTTTGTTTTCCTTGTCTCTGCTAATTGTACACAAGTCAAACAACCGCATAGTTGGGCTTGGAGAATCCGCTGGTGGTTGGGTTGCTACAAGCAACCTCTATTGAGGCCTCGGTTCACTTGAGGTGGACCTCGGTCATTCCGATCTAAAAGACCGTAAGTAAAATAGAAACATTATAGTGTTGCTCATCCCAACACTGGCACCCGAAGACCGCGGTTTCGTCCTGGTTGGGACTCATCAGTTCGAGATAGCCTGAGTTGGGCTGGAACTCAAAGCCTAGTGGCTCATGGTTGACACCATGAGCACTATGCCACTGAGATCCACGAGCAACGATTGGTCCAGCGGAAACGAATGCATAGTTGGGCTTGGAGAACCGAGGCAATAGAGGTTGCTTGTAGCAACCCAACCACCAGCGGATTCTCCAAGCCCAACTATGCATTCGTTTCCGCTGGTCCAATCGTTGCTCGTGGATCTCAGTGGCATAGTGCTCATGGTGTCAACCATGAGCCACTAGGCTCTGAGTTCCAGCCCAACTCAGACTATCTCGAACTGATGAGTCCCAACCAGGACGAAACCGCGGTCTTCGGGTGCCAGTGTTGGGATGAGCAACACTATAATGTTTCTATTTTACTTAAAGTCAAACAACCACTTACATTTCGATGCGCTAATCAATGTGTGTGGCTTTTTATTGTTTCGGTCCATCTGCTGAATCCTCATTAAACATGTTTTGCTTATAAGTTCAAAGTTAGGTGTGGATTACTCGCCGTATGGTTGGATTGCAGCACACACTCCTCTTGAGACCTCGGTTTACTTCGAAGTTGATAACGGTCATTCCGATCTCTAACACCGTATCCGAATTGTGGGATTGTTTCCGTGTTATGCTTTCCTAACCCTGACGCCTCACGACCGATTTCGTCCTCATTCGGGCACATCAGGTAGAAACAGTCTGTTGGGAGCTGAACTTTGAACCAAAGGGTTAACTTCTCACGCCAGTCCACTGAGACCGTGAGCGACGTTTTAATCCGATTATTGAAATTTGATTTTACTTCATAATCGACGGATTCGTCACTGTTGGTTATATGCCTGTAGAAAGCAAAATTTTTTGGAAGATTTCCGAAGTCCACCAAGGTCCAATTCCTATGCGATCTCTTAGATTACTCTACCCTGTTGCCACTGACAACTTTCTTTTAAGACGGACTATGCTACCGTGCCTCAATGTTGCCATTGCATTCTTGTAGTCTCGTTATATCCCATTTCGAATTCTTGCTTGTAGTTGCTCAAACCGTCTAACGTTGTTAAATCATCGTCTTTGAAAGAACCGAGCAAGAAGCCTCGTTCTACCAGAACAACAAGGCGATCCTTACGTCAGTTATCGACACATGCTGATTCCAAAGACGATAAAACTCCACGCGAAACAACTTACTTCGATTCCTCTCAACTTGACGACACCGCGGACGGCCCGACTGTCGTAGACACGGATCTTTGCGACAATGATGCAGACAGCATCTCTTCCGATTTTACTGACCGTGCATCTACGGGTACAAACGATGATGAGGACCAGGCGGAAGTGGATGATAAGTGGTTGGAGTCTTCTGATGCTGTGTCGGATGCTGCGCTCTTGTCCAGTGATCCTGTGGCGTACAAGCTTGCCTTTGAGCGGTGTCGCATGTTAGATCATCCTTCATCACTGAACGCTTTCGTTGATGAAGCATGGAATGTTTTGTTCACCGATGTTGAGCGTTTGTGTGGACCTGACTGGATTAAGCGTGAGTTTGTGCGCATGTTCACACGTGAACTTTTGAAGCCTTACTTGCCACGTCTGTCATCAGTTTCCGATGATGATCGCATTTCTCGGTCATGTGTACCTAACCTATAATTCTGATCTCGCCACTACAGTGCCTCGATGACATCGTCAAATGCCCCCATTTAGGACGATCTCCGTCCGTTCTTTCTTCGATTGACTGCCTTCCACCATATGCGGCTAGCCAGGTACTAGCCAGGCACCAGCCACGACATCGTCATTTTGCACTGAGTTGACAAAAGCAACCATTTTCCTTCAGTCCCCTCAATAAGAGACAATGCACCTCGATCACCCTCATACGCCTTTCCCCTTCTTTCCCTCTATCCATTTACCTCCTACGTTTTTATTCGCAATCACACGCGGTCGTATGTTCTTGCCTCACTAGAAGCATATACCGTGCCTACCACTCCCATTATCGTGAGGAGAACATAATGCAAGCTCTGAGCATCTTGTCATTTTTGCAGACCATGTGTTTCCTGTGTACGAGTCGTTGCCAAGCCAGTGTGTTGTGTCACTAATCACGGTTGTGCATTTTTGTGTTCATCTCAGTAACATGTGTGGCCCGTAGCTCTAAGGATCACAAGTCTGCCTCGTAATCTGAGGGCGCGGGTTCGAGCCTACATAAGGACCGGGCGACCCTCGCATTATCCTTAGCCCACGTGCGACCGATGGTGGCTTCGCGGCGGCGAAGCGTCGGTACCGCTTACCGGCGTACTGCTGATGCCTTCTCTCTTGGATGTTTGGCCATACACTATTTCCTGGATATCGTTTAGTGTCGATTTATGTTGCGCCTCCTCCGATAAGTTTCCTCTCTACTCCTTGCCCACTTTCCTGCGTCCATCCGTCGTTTATCTACCCTTTTTGTTTCCTACATGTAGTCTAGGATGTCATTACAACTCGTGTTGCCGACCCTATGTGACACTGTGTTTCGTCCTGATGCTGAATTTTCTTCCCAGTAGACTGATTAACTAGTATAATATTCCAGTTGAACATGTGGACAGTTTCCGCTCCACCAGACTGCAATGAGAATTCGGCCAATAAGCCCTGCACAACGAGAGCATCCGAACACATACCATCAAGGCACTGGCATGCATGCGGTTCAAAGGAGGTTAAAGATAGTTTTTAAAGGCATACTCTTCTTCATCCCATGCGATCCAGTACTTCCTTCGCGCTTATGTGATGATTTTTGCTCTTAACTTTTAGCTTGCAAACCTTCATATTATTTGAGCCACGTCGTCTCACAGTGTCACTGTCACTGTTCCCTTTTCAGTCTCTGCTTTCCTGGAAAGCACAAGGCTCCGGGTGCGGCTGATGCTTCGCCTCGGAACCAACCAACGGACCACGGGCACTATGCTCGAAAGGGGGCAGAATCTGAAAGATCGTAATGTGACCGGTTTGGATATCTGGACCATGTTTTTGCGTTTGATCGATGTTCTGCGGGCTAATTTGCCGCACACTTTGGCTCATCTAGAATCTGCCGCAACGTGGGGCTCTTTGTTGCCGGCCATTTTCAACAACGAGGGTCGTAAGGTGGCCGCAGGAAATTTACTCATCAGTTCGTGTATCATCGGACGTCATGGCACTTCGGCATTCATCAAGCTGAAAGATATGCACAGGCAGGTGAGTGACCACCGTGTCACCGGTTTCTTTACTCGATTCTGCCCCAATCAATTTGCACTTCTTCAATCCGGACTATCATTGATCGCCTACCGTTATCCATTTACACTTATGTCACAACACCACCGTGTCCTTTTACTGGTTCTCATTCCCCTGGATTGCCCATTGGATTTCTCTGTGCATAGCAACCCGGTTTATTCGTTATTTACAAGGCTGGGGAAGAGTGATGATGGGCAAATCCACACTGACCGGCCAACCGCTACAACCCACGCCTTTCTCTCAAGACACAGACGTATTCTCACGCTACGATTTGAGGCCCGTGCACAACCGAAACAGGCTTTACCGAAGCGGACTGCTCATGAATTGGACAGCTTCTGCATCCTCTGACCAAGGCTAGAGTGCAGTTAACTCGCCTATTCTCCGATCGCCATTGGCGGTGTGCGAAAAGTCTAACGGGTTCAGCACATAGTTACTAAGCGCATCTTCCTCTTACAAGCTGTCATACTAATCTCGATGCAGGAGACCAGGGCTTCACATCCTCATGAAGACCCATGTTAAGACCGCTGCTCTATATGCGCGCACCAAGCAGCATATGCGGACATTGAATTTGAAGTGGGTACTTCACTCTGCATGCTTCGAGCATCGAGTCTTCAAGTAGTGTAACAGTGGAATCGGTGTCGGAGTTCCAGAAATACCTAGACGCACAGCTTGCGGCTTTGAGATTTAGAGGACGTATCGCAGCTGAATAAGACATTGTACCTCTGTAATATTTTCGAAATTGGCGGTTAGTGGCATTATTCCACCTATATAATCCATCAAATTTCAATGGGACCACACAGATTTATGTCTTCTCAGTCTACATTTACAGTGTTCAATATGCACTTTACTTAAACTACCGGTTCAGCGATTTAGATTATACTCGCACTGGACGTCAAACTCTGTGTCTTAATGTCTCCCCTGAGCATGTATTGTTGGCACTTATCGCTTCGCTTTATTTCAGTTACTGTGCTAGTTCCGTTCCCCGGTCATTTTGCGTGCCATGTCCCACTAACAATCATGTCTTGCAATGTACTTTTGCATCGGCATCCTAGAAATTATTATAAGGAATGATGGTAATATCCACCAACATGCGTAACAGGAGTTGTTCGCTACATTCTACTCACTGTCACCCCTCGTCTGTTTACTGCTTATTTGACCCATCAGCCACTGTCATATGGCCGACGGGTTTCTCGTAGCGCGCAGTTCAGGTCACTACCCAAACAATGAATGCTGAAGCGTCCAGCTAAATGCGAGTTACGTACATTTATACCCTCTGCTGTACGAATTTACAGTTCACGGTGCACCAAGTCCAGTTTGGAATTGTCGTTCTCCCCCCGGCTGATTGAAGCCATTTATTCTACTTACATGCACTTTTGGTCGATTCCAACGGAGACATCATTCCAAAGGCGATACTCACTTCTTCTGACGGCTTCTTTATACCTGTTCGTAATCTCCTCAAGCAGAGCACACTGCGAGTTGACTCTGTTAAGCCGGTGGACATCTGCGAGCGAATTACACTGAAGCATTCTATTCACGAGCCTGGGATCAACTAGACCTAGCAAGCATAATCGATTCAACCTTAATGAGCATTCCATTACGTCTCCACACTGTGTTTCCTTGACTGAAATACAAAAGATTCTGTACGGTTCGGACTATGATTAAAATAAAACAACTATAAAATGGAGCTAAATGTTGCAGCAATGCATTAGGAAGAGGCCAGAGCGTAGCAGAATTACAACCTTCGTAAGTGATGTGCACCAGCTCCTTCACTACTCTTTACACGGTGCTTCCGGCAGCCATGTGACACATACCCTATTAGCATTGGCGGTCACACTTCGCATCCGTACAGTGACACTGGTCGCACACACCCCGCATTCCACTGTCAAGCCGTCGTTTTCACAATCTGCTGAGCGTCCGAGTTCAGTGATATTCATCTTGACCAGCAGCGATGCCTCTGCCTATCATCCTAAAACAACCAGCCACTTCGAATTGTTCCGTAACCTTATACTCTAGAACCTGCTGAATAGAGTTCGTCACCATCTGTTGCTTGCTTTCGGACGATACTCATTTATCTGTATGTGGTTCTCGGCTACCCATCAGGATTTCTACACTTTGACTTCCACTGCATGTCGTTGATTTCAGTGATGGTACTTGACGAGATCCGTCTCCAGATTTGCCTGTCACTTTGCCTGCGAACAAACCCAGGACGTTTGTGCTTGCGAAGGTACCTTGGATGTCTTGCGCTACATCGTCAACCGCTCAGCTAGACGTAATCTAAGTGCGTTTACACCGTCTGCTGTACGCATTTGCCGTTCGAAGTAACTAATCCAGTGTAAATGCATACTCAATTTACATCTGATGGAATAAGACCGAATGTCAAGCAATTGATTTGCGTCCTCATCACACCCAGCATGAGCATTATGGACGGTAGTCGGGGGAAACGTGTGCACTACACCCGCACAAAGCAGTGACTCAGCCATAACCCATTACATGACGGAACAACTAAACCTAGTGATTTCCTCATCAACGATTTGTGATTCCCACTATCCGGTATTGCTTCACCAGGCGAGTTGGGACCATGCTACCATCAACATCAAACGCCACGGATCGCCCGTACCAAGAACTGTCATGCTCGCACCGGCTGCAGTCCCATGCGGATGATAATGGCGACGAGCCTTTGTTCATCTACATCCGTCTCTTCTGTATCAGAAATTTCTGTCCTAGATGCCCTAACCCTTCACTATCCGTGACTCGGTAGCCAAAGGCGTAGAGGTTTCGGCTACTATTCCAATGGTCGCGGGTTCGAGGCATGCTGTATCCACCTTATAAGATGAAATTACATCGAAACGTGTCATGGTTCTGCAGTGTTTTCGGGCAGGCAACACCCAATTTCCATCTGCTTTGAGTACAGTCCCAGTGATCGCAGTGACTAAGTTTCACTTCAATGTGAATCACGGTCCATTACATTGAGATTACGCGTCGCAATCCAATCACACAACGTGTGGTCCAAACTTGACCCTCCAATCCTTCACTATCCTGTTCATCCTCATTCCAGATGTGGTCAAGTAATCGTCGACGATCCACTGCTTCCAGGAATTCATCACCAGCTCGTTAATGCTCATCTCTACCACATCCTCATAGTGCAGCCCCTGTTAGAATGCACTTCCTTTTCCCTGAATTCAGTCGCCCTTATGTCATGTGTTTCGGTATTCTGATCATATCCCTTCCGCGCACATGACCAAGCCATTTAAACCGTTGCACCAGCAACACAGTCCACTTCATACATGACTCTGCTGCGGAACACTTAAGTTTCACATGCATTGTCCCATTAACAGATGCGCAGAATCCGTTACAGGTAGCCTTGATATGATCGCTCCAGACGGTGGATATTCTTCTTGTCTAACAAAGCCGTTGACTTGTGCGTCATCACTTTGACCCCAAAGATTAAATGATGACTCTTCCATATTCGATCTTCCAGCCTATTGAAAGCGGTCCTTGCGTTTGGCACGAGAGTCCGGAGCCCGCAACTTATCCCCAGGTTCTATTGACAGAGCTCTTCCGGCATGATATAAACTCAGCTTGTGCGAAAATCGTCGAGGCCTCAGTCTTGTTTCCATTGCATCCAAACTCTTCACGGGTATCATTCACCGATAACTTACTGGTCCCCGTGTGAACCGAATCACTGAAGGCCAGGCTGACTTCCGCTCTGGTCGTGGTTGTATCGACCACATATTTACTCTTCGCCAAGAGTTGGAGCAGAGACACGTACAGACGACCGACTATGGTGATTTTCCTTGACTTGAAAGTCGTCTTCGACTTTGTTGACCGAGCCAGCTTGTAGCACTGCCTACCCATGAAAGGCGCGCCAGATAAATTCCTTTCCATTATGCATTATGTCTACCGTGACTCCTGAGGCCATGTAAGGGTCTACGGGAAACATTCTCCTGAGTTCCCCATAACAAATGGGGTCATCATCATCGTTATACACGTCAGCTGCAGGTGGAAAACTCCTCAGCTATTGTGCCACAATACAAAAGACAAGAAAAGGAAAACAAACAGAGATACGCCGGCTGATTCCCCAGTAACCGATGGACATCGTTCCGGAGAGCTATCAGCTGGCTCTCGTGCCGTAAAAAGTCATATTATGCCTAACGAGTGAGATCGTGATTGGAGGGGGATGCTAAGCAGGAGGGGGATGGACAGGGGAACTCACAACACAAACGCTATTGGTGCCGGCTCCGAGCCATATCATCAAGTTTGTCCAACCAAACGTGTTCACCGTCCTTAGGACCCCAGCCAGGCATTCGGGATGCACCAACCGACGCCAATTTCGAGTGAAGGTTTTTATTTCTCTCGACCAAGTCATCACTTGACCTCCTCTTTTTCTCCTCCAACCGCACCCACAACGCTCAAACAATGCACGTCGCGGAAGTCGGTGTGCTGGCATGCGCAACACGTGGCCCAGCGACGCCGAACACGCTCATTGCTCACGCGGTGCTCCCACCTGGCATGAGCTAAGCTGCGAAGTCAGTGGTGATCGAATGTGACGAGCCTCTTTATGTCTGTTGTGCTTAGATGCCAGGTTTCCCAACCATATAAGAGAGTTGGACGGACGGCTGCGTTATAAGTTCTGCACTTCAGGGCGAGAGTAATATCGCGTCTGCGCCACGGGTGGCGGAGATTGACAAAAGCACCTCGAGCTTTTGCTATACAGTTCGTAACCTCATCTTCAATTCCACGGGTGCTAATATAGCTGCCCAGGTACTTGAATTTCTGAGCGACTTCTAACTGATTACCACAAATCGTTAGCGCAGGGTGAATCTTTGCCAAGATTGGAGAGACACCTTGCATTTCGATGGAGCAAAGCATAGCTTAAAACGATTGACACCCAGTGCTAATCGGTCCAGTGCTGCTTGGAATGTTTGGGAGCTGTCACAGATTAGGGCAATATTGTCCGCGCACTT